CGGGAATAAATCACGATCAGGTCCGATCAGGTAGTCGTTTGCAAGCCCGACCTCGCTTTTATTAGACCGGCTGACACCGAGGATCACTGCCAAACCAGGATCGCGCGAACAATGGCTTCTACGTATCGAGTCGTCCGAGCGAAAATAACCACGATTGCCCGCGCTTCCTATCGTACTCTGCTTGCGCTAAAGCTGAAAAAGAGACGAGAGAGGGAGGTAAGAAAAGAAAGAGGGAACCTAGTCTATTTCGTCCTGAAAAGAAATCTGCTATGGATAAGCAGAGTTTTAAGAAATATATTTGCATAGTAAGTTTATACATTTACATAGTAAGCAGATCCAAGGCGACACAAAAGAGGATGAAGAGTGAAAAGAAAGGGAACGGAAGTGTAGGCGAGAAGTGGATGTCCTTGTTGTAGAAAGCGGATCGCTGGTACAGCACAGTTTTATGATTTCAAGATGATGTTTCTGAAAATATTTGCCTCGTAGTCGCGTGCCCAGAATCCATCCCCATCCGCGCGGATTCCCATCCCCTGGGCTTCTGAAGCCCCCCCCCTCGACGAGACCCCAGGTCATGGCGGATCAATGATTTACTCGCGACTCCGGCTCATGTGTGCTGCACAAAAGTGCAACATGTCGAAGAAATTTTTATTATACGCAGTCACCGAAACTTGACACCGTAGTATTGAGATGTTAATCAAGCTTTTATACTTTCTGAAATCATTTTGCTCCGAAGATGTCTGAAATGACATTATTTGATTCTATAAGCTAATTTATTATAAACAGCAGAAACGAGAGTGAGTCAAAGAATTCTCAAAGAATCGTTATTAAAAAATATTGTATTTTCATAAAAACGTATTTTCTTAATAATGATCCAGAAACTTTCCGACTTGTTCTTGCATTTCGTGTTGTTTTCTGAAAAATAAGAGTTTGGGATAGAGCTTTTTTTATCTCGTAACTCTTTTTCTATCTCGATACCAGCGTATAAAAAATCCTAAATGCGCCATCGCTCCGACCTTTACCTACAGCAAGTGCAGCGCGGTGAGAAACGCCGCCATTGTTACCGTTTTAGCTTTTTTCATCGATTACCGTTACCCCAAAGAGAGAGAGAGAGTTATCCCCGCGAAGCTTAGCACCGACTCGAGGACCGCCCTTGTCTTGCGTATCCCCCGTATCCCTAGGATTAGATCTGGCTTTAATGCCCGACGACAAGGGATTTCGGCGGTAATTGAATCAGGACAGGCCGCCGCGCTGCAGTTAAAAGTTAAAAAGTGTTTGCTATCGCTATACGGATTCGTGTAGTATCGCTTGGGTCATAGAAGGGATCAACTTAATTAGAGGAATCAAATTCCATAGCTCAGAATAGCTTCTTAATCGTTGGAGAATCCGGCGAGTATCGCCTGTTAAGTGACGATAAGTGGTGCCTGAAATAATCACGATCATAACAATTTTTGCATATTTCTTTGAAAAAATATAATCAAAAAGTGTTTTACTTGCTAATATACGGAGAGCTTGAAAAAAAATCAGACAGGGCTAAATACAAATTATAGGCTTTTATGTTTTTCATTTAGCTTTCTATTAGCTGTAAATTTTTACTTTACAATTCAATGGTTTTGCTTTACTTTTCAATGCAAATGCGCAATAAATAATGAACTGTCGCACGGAAGTTCTATGGGCGATAAAATGGCTAGTCTGTATGTATAAGTTGTATAGTCAGTTTGCAGCGCCTTTGATACACGAACTAGCACATATGCATGTTAATTCTTTCTGACCGACCCAGCGAACGGAACCGGAAGCAATGTGTCCCCCTTTTTGTGTTAGCTGGCCCGTACTTAGACGTGTCGATTCGGCGGGATCCGGTTTTGATCTATCGCGTGGAAAGAAACTGATCGCCCTCGGCCATCCGCGTACTCACTGTCGAACCCGTAATCGGGTGGATGAAGATCATTCGCTTGTAGCTTGTATTCGCCCGTAAAAATATCGAACAGCCGCGTTTGGAGGCTGCATATCTATACTCGGGGATAGCGACAGCGCGGTATCTTGTCAATGTGTCAAGGTTCATTTGTTCCACGATAGTTAATGGAATATTTCGTAAACGATCAATGTTTTATCGCAGTGTGTCCTTCGTGAAAAATATCTAAAGCTGCAACAAATTTTTTTTAACAGATAAATACATTTTTCTTTCAAGTCTGTATTAGTATTACAAATACAATAATTATAAATTATTATAATATATTTTGTTTTCATCCGAATTCTCTCCTTTCACATTTATCGAATTATATTTTTCACATCTCGCGCAAAAGCGTAAATATACATACGCAGTTTGGACGTTAATTTGATAGGAGTACTTCTATTTAAAAATTTCGCTTTTAATTAAAAAGAATCCTAGATGATTTTCGCATTTCGCTCACAGCTTTAATTCTACGCGGCAAACTCGCTAGAGCGGCTCCCTAGATGATCCGAGCGTTCTGCAGCGCGAGCGGTATTTAAACGTGGGCGAAAGGTAGGTCAGGCTGTAAAAAGCCTGCACACAAGATGTATACGTGCATGCGGGATAACACGTACGTAACTCGCAAGGCGATTTCCCGGCGTCTGCTTCAAAGGAACAGCCAGGTGAAGTGTATATTCAGTACTCAGGGCGCGCGCGCCGCCGAGGCCACCTTCGCGCACGCACGAGTAGTCAGGTGGCATCGGTTGCGCGCAAAGCGGTTATTTTTAGTTCAATTTGTCGCTCGAACGGTACCATAAAGCGAGCGCTACGTATGTAACCCGCGCGGGGTCTCTATAGAGGTTTTCACGTGAGCACACGCTCGCGAATAAACCGTCGTCGATCGTTAAAAGCGTCAACTAGTTACCGCCGGCGAGACTTTCGCTTGGCGCTCGGTGGTTTTAACGTGGGGACCGGCGCGTGCCCCTGGATTACTTTATAATTCCATGAAACGCAAATCATCATCAGGCATAAAGATGGCCGTTTATCGTCTCCTCTCAGTAGTCTCTGAGGGCCGAACGTCACGCAGATTAACTCTTGGCTGCTGACGTTGATAAACTCCCTCGGTCGCGTACCGTATTAAAAGTTAGGAGTGAGCTGTTTTACGGCCATTTCTCCGGAGAAAAAAAAAAGATTCTGTCGCGAATTTACGAAGTTCATAATTGGCGAAGAGTAAACGTATTATGGACTTTGTCACCGCTTTTATCTAGAGCCGCGTCGAAAATAATCCGAACAAATGATTTGATTAATATATATTGGATTGATTAGAAAATTCCTTGGGATTTCTGCCTTTTATTTTTATCGAGAAATAAATCCGAAGAAACTTTCTGATCAACCCTAATACTTCTGAACTCCATTGATAACAAGATTTTGAAGTTAAAATTGTTTTTGATCTGACAAGCTATGTATATTCACATTCTTAAAAAGGCGTAATAGAGAAAACTCGAATAAGAACAAAGTATTTCAATTACGGAGACAGTAACTGCGAAAGTTGTATATTTTGTGGAAATTACCTGCGCGATAGTATAAATAAATACAAGAAAAAATTAAAGCTCGTTACCTTGCAATTAGAAAGAATTTCATTTGCAATGAATATTTTCTTCATTATCTACTTTCGTTACTTCGACAAATAGAAAAAAGATTAAGTACGTTTTGTTGAACGGAGACGTGATTATAGAATCAGCGTTTTTCTTTTCGCCGCGGTAAGATAATTTCGCCGAGTCTGCGTTTAATTCCGCGTGCAGTTCAGACTGGAACGCGTCTCTGTGGCGTTATGCAGCGCGTAGGCCTGTACGACGGGCGCAAATCAAAATCAATAAGCCGATTATTGGCCAGCGCTCAGCGGAGATTACGTCGCTTTGAATTGACACCCCGACGTAAGCCTCGTGCCGATTCAATTCCGCGGGCTTTCGCCGACAGGCGGACATCCGTCCCAGTTCCTTTTTCCACACGACGAGTCCGACGTGGTGCAAAATGGCGTGTTCAATGCGAGCTCCCGACCTCGCCTCCCGCGTTTCGCGAGCTCGTCTCTCCGCGCGAGAACGAACGCGAGAACGAACTCGACACGCATTCAGCCGCGCATGAAAGACGCAACCGGCTCATTTTCCACGTAATTTCACCGATTTTCTCACCGCCGGCGGTCGCGTTGATATGTATTTACCGTGCCGGAAGAATTTATCAATAGCGCGAACGTTAGCGTCGCGACGCTACCACGGCGCGGCGCCATCGATACAAGGCGTATGCAACGATTGCGATAACGAAACGACAATAATATTGTTCGGCGATGAAAGAAAAAAGTTACTCGGAACTTTATGTATGCCAAATGATACGATACAGTTCGCGCAACTGTGTAATTGTGAAAAAAATGAATGCGCTTGTTTTGATTTGTTGTGATCACTTTGGCCTTGCAGAATAGTCGAGAAGTATAATTAACTACTGCTGTCGCGATCAAATGGATTTATAGATAATTAATTTTTACTTCAGGGACATGGCGAACAAAAGAATGCAGCAGTTGCCGTAACGAGGCAAACGTCAAATCGGTTTTCCGATTAAATCGCAATTGATTAAGCTTCTGGCTTCAAAATTTTCCGTTCTAACAATCCTCGTAAACTTCTTGGTGTGCGAAACGCTATTTCAGCCACGGAATGACTGTAGAGAAAATGTGATAAATCCATTAAAAGATTCGCATAAAATTTCCAAAGAAAATCCAATAAAGGAAATCAGGTGAGAGACAGCGCGGTGGAAGTCGTAAAAGTTCCAGGCCTTAAAATAAAACTGTCCTATATCAACTCGATTATTTCTGTTTTTGAAACATTGATTTCGAATTAAGGACAACGAGGGGCGCGACGCTCTGAATTTTTTAACATTTGGATGTGCATGGTATTGCGATTTTCATTTTCTATTCTCGAGCCGTAGCGCTTGACGATATGGGGCAAACTATGGGCAGGATGCCGGACACGTGGCAGGAACTCATGGAAGAGAGAGACCGTGTTATACACTGGAGTTCTGAAGTGTTGGCGAGAGTGCAGGATAATGTTACGAACGAAGATACGTTCCTGATGGACTACGATGACAATAAGATTAACGCTAAGCTCGATACATGGATTAAAGCTAATCAGACGCGTGTTGATGATACGTTCAGCAAATATCCAAACGCAACGGATCAATCGAAAAGCGTGGTTCAAACTGGAGTTGAAAAGGTGATTGATTCTTTGCTGAATATAAATTTCTATAAAAGATTAAGACTTTTTACAGAAAGTAAAATAATATAATGAATGCATTGCGATCGTTTGTCGTATAATGTTTAGCTCACCGAAGATATCCGTGCAAAAATTCGTAAGGATTATCAGAGCGCGTACAGCGACTTAAAAAAATTCAATAAGAAGGTGGATCAGTTAGGCGAGGACGAAAGAAAAATTCACGCTGAGATACAAAAGCTGGAGGAGGAATGTGCGGGAGATACGCAGAAGTTTCAAAAGAAATTCGGGCCGTTGCGAGTGAAAGTTTTCGATAATTTAAGAACCGGCGAGAAAATGATATTCCAAGACAAGAAGCTGAAGACTGATTTTACAAAAAAAGTACACATAGCGTCTTCCGTGGAATTTTACATTTTCCTAATGATTCTTGTAATTCAATTGCGCTTCTCTCTATCAGGTCTACGATATTGATCACAAAATCTCTGCCGATTGCACGAAGCGGTTCGACAAATTGCTCAAAGACTTTGAGAAAAGTGTGGCGAAACAGAGAACGTAAATAACACGATGAAAAAGAAACATCTCATCGTCAAATCATAGTGAAATCAAATTTTTATGCACGAAATTGATTAACATGTTCATAAAAATTTACAAAGCAAGCACGCCACGAATTTTTTTAATATTGTCTGTGTTACATCAGTTTCATTTATTCAGTTTTCACCACGTATCGTGAATTTTCATTAATTTAGCAACTAAAGAATAGATTCGTTCTTGAATGTTTTTCTTCGATTTTCTATGCTGTACAATTGGTTGCTTGCACTTGCAACGAAAAAGGAGAAAAAGAAATAGCCCGATAAATTTTCCGATCGCAGTTTATGGTGCGAAAGAAAGAAGGAGCGAAGGAGAAAAGGAGATAGTCAAGGATCACCTCCACTCGACGAGCATCTATAAAGAAAGAGACGAAAACTGGCACGGATTGTATAGAGTGTCTCAAAACTATCGAATACTTTTTTTATTATTTCTTAACTTATTCAGTATCAGTTTTTCCTCAATATCAGGATGTCAAAAATTTATAATCTTCAAATAATTAATGATTAAAAACAAGAAACTTCTGGCTTTAGTAATTAAGCTTTAGCAGAGAAGATAAACGATAAAATTACATCCTTCGATAAATTCCTGAAAGATTTAAATTAATATGTCTAAATATGGATGATGTTCTAACATTAATCTTTTCAATACAGCAACATAATCGCGCGAACAACATCCTATAATCATCAGACAAGGCTTTTATATTTTATAATTCGTTTTATATTTTACATAGCATACATATTTTTATTGCAATATACATACACCATGTTATAATAAGAGCATATACAATGAGCATAAATATCTGCAGAACACGAAACACAGAAAATCCGTTTTTGCCACATGTCGCTACGTCAATTTTTCATCAAGTTATAGCGTTTTGAAAATCTTATGCAGCGTGCGTGTGTGTGTATACGTGTGCTTATAAGATATTCTGTAACAGTACTACGATCAGCTGGTCAGCTGATAGTAGCGGGATTTTTTGCCGCAACACGTGCATCGCGCGAGGGGATCATCTGATGCTTCGTCGACCAGTTCCGTCCTAGATCGGGGTCACTCGGATTTAATCGCCGCGAGTCGATATAATTGTCAATACTTCGCATAGAGCGCACTAGCGCGCACAGAGCAATACGGAATTTGAAACATTAGGAAATTCTGAAAATTTAGCGCTTTTGACAAGCCCGCAATCATTTATCTCAGGTAATTGTTTTGCGAGATATTGTCTAATTTCGAAAATTAAGTTAACCCTTTCGACACGGCAATGAAAAACCGCGAAAGAGTCATGCCAGTGCGCCGAATTTTAGGTTAGAATGACATACTTGTCCTTTGTACCAAAAGGATTAATAAAAATTTAATTGATGGTTTAATATGCAAAGTATGTAATGTTAAAAATTGAAAAAGTATGATGTATGATTTTTTTCGACATTTTTGTTGAAAAGAAATACTCTTTTAAGAATGCTACAATTACGAAAACCTCCGAATGGTTTCAGGACACTTTGTATATTCCTTGGATTCCTCTCTGTTATTCGGATCGTGTTGCAGATTCGAATACTCTACGGGATGCGATTGATCGATCCGGAATCGAAATGCTGTTGAATGAATCTAATGATCCCTGCAATCCTTCAAATGCGGGCTCCTTTCACACTGTGTATCCTCGATTCTCTCCAGTTGCGACCCTATGATCCCGCACTCCAGATAACGGACGGCAGCGAAAACAGGAGAGAGAGAGAGAGAGAGAGAATATCATGAATACAAGACGTCAGACTCCCACCGGAATGCCTGTATCAGCTTAGTTGGGGTAGGCTCTCTCGGAGACTCTCGCGATCGGGAGAGCATGCTGAAGCAAGCGCTTCGCATCTCTTCAACGCCTACGCGACGATTCAGGAACGTCTCGCCGTAGTGCGCTGTTAAGAGCATTGCGAATAAATCAATCGACACAGAATCATCGAACTGGCTTTTAATAATGTTTGTAAATTTAGTCTCATATAAGCCGAATTTAGCACATAATTATATGGAACAATTTAATTATATCAATCGTTGAAGTCAGTTTATTTCAGAGTTTCCAAAATTTCGCAATTGTAACATCGCTCATATTGAGTCGATAGAATTTATAATATTCCAATTATATCAATAATCTTCTAGTGAAATTTTGAAATATAATAACTTCGAGCTCCCAAACCATGAGGGCATGACGATATATATGCCCTATCGATGGAACCTATCTATTTTAACGAGATTTCCAGAATGTGAGCGCTTTCAATATAACTCATATTGGGGCAGTAGGCTCTTCAGCGTTCAAATTATACTGCTCGTCCTCTGATGCCACTACACAATTTTCACTGTTTGAAAGCTGTACATAACAGAATTTACATTGATAATGAAATCTATACATTGCTTAAAATTATAAAATAAAAAATAGAATAAAATGTAGCGTAAAGTAGAGGTGAATAGAAATTACAGATTGAAATAAATCTTGTTTGTAATTGAAACTAAATGTCCATGATATGCTAAAAATGAAACATTAATTGTAAATAAGGCTAAAGTTATTTGTACCATACAAAAATAATAACATCATCAATTGGATTGTTTCAGCCACGGAGCATGAATTCGCGATGAATTTATGTAAAAGATTGCCGAGAGATTCTTCTGGAGAATACCAGCCGTCGAAAGTAGATCGATACGAGTCTGAGCGCGACTGATGTACCAGCGTAACGCGCCGTCGCGCTCCGAGATGACGTCTTCGTGGTAGCCGGCAACGACCAGATGGGTGGCCTTCTACGTTCGCAGGTGGTCGTCGAGGATGCCTGCGTATCCCTGTGTGTTCACGACAGCCACCTTTTTCGCGCGCAGGTAAAACATTGTCGCCAAAACCGCGACGCCGCGGTAGCAACGGCGGTCGCCGAAAGCCCGCGGCGATCCGGCAAGCAGGAAGATGCCGGAGGCGTTTTCGCGAGTCGCGAATTCGCCTGCGCACGCAGTCGTGTCAGATAATTCTAGGATGATTACCCACCTAGCGAGGGATGTGCAAGGCTGCAGAGTACGATTTCGATAAGGCATATCTACTTGAAACGTTGAATGGAGCAAAAACGTTTTTTGATAAATTAATACTCACATCGCGACATTCGTAAGATTCTTGTAGTTTTTTAGGATCTCAGTTTGCATAAAAAAAATTAGAATATATTTAAAACAAAATTATACAAATAATAACTTTCAATAACATCTTTGCAACATTCACGATAAAATTTTTAATAAATTTTTCATTTTTTGGTTTCAAGGACTTTATGTGTTGTATATATGACATCATGCTACGTAATTATCTAAGAGAGTCATGTAATTTGTTTTATAATTAGGCAAAGTTTGATTGTAGGTATGATGTATATATCATGAGACAGTTATCAAGAAAAATATGATCTATTTACACGACCTTCAATAGCCGTGATCGTCTAGTGGTTAGGACCCTACGTTGTGGCCGTAGTAACCCAGGTTCGAATCCTGGTCACGGCAGTGCATAAAAGCATTGTCACGGTGAAGGTATTTTTTTTTAATAATTTTACATTAAACATTAATTTAAAAATTATTTAAAAACATTGCCACAACAAAATATTTCTTTTTCTAATTTAATTTAATTTAATTTTTATATAAAATTAACAGTGAAATTGTGCGAAGTTATTGTGCACAAATATTTTATATTTAATATTGTATTTATGTAAAATATTTAATTATATGAACTTTTGCATTTTTTATCAACGTTAATGTCGACAAAATTGTATATTTTATAAATACATTAATCTCATTTCTCTTGTGACAAATTCAGTGAAATAAAATTGCAAAGATAAATTATAAAGAAAGACAAACTTTAATGTGCAGCAAAATGAAAGGTATTATTGCAATCGTTCGCCGAATACTTTTGTTAAATATTAGCATATTGTGCTATATTTAGTGTGATGCAATAGACTGCACCCAGTGAATTAAACCATGAATTTGCATTAATAGTGCCAGAAAAGCATTTTTTAAAAATGATCAGCAAATTGTACAAACTTATAAATCAAAGCGCAATTGCTGTTGCAGCAGTGTTGTAGCAGGATCGTGCGCGTGCGATTTATATTTGATTTAAAATTCTTAACTATAAGCTGCTGTCATTTATTTGGATAAAATGGCCATTCAACATCGATTTTTATTACTAATTTATACTTTATGCTATGTTGGTTCGTATGACAAATTTTTTAACTGACACTGTCTCTCTCTCTTTCTCTCTATTCAATCATGATTCAGTAATAATTTTGTCATAATTCTATGAATTATCTATCTTTTTGATGTAATGCAGAAATTCAATAATGTGAGTCATGAAACATGAGCCGTTCTATCAGAATTAGTTATTCAATTAAATGAATGAGAAATTTGGGAAATTTACATTTGTATTTAATTAGCTTGTGTATAATTTGAAACGCTTCCATCAGTAGAATTATTACTATTTTACGTAGGCAATAACAGAAAAAAATAATTCTTACAAATAATTTCAAGTTTTTCAAAAATAGTTCAAAAAATATATATTTAATATTTTTAATTATATATTATTAGTAATTCGATCAGTTTAATAACAAGGTATATTTGCAGCAATAATTCATGGCTATTTATTGGACATAAATGATGCTGAAACGTGCAATTTGCTATGTGGACAATGTAATGCTTCCGGCGTATTTGCGAACGGTCTCTGTGAATGCAGTTTCACTGACAATAATAATGAAGGTATCATTTTATTGATACATATATTTTTAATAAAATAATCTTGTCAAATAATTAAAAAAATAGGACCAGATATTTCACATTTTTGCTCATTAATGTACAATTTTCAGGTGCAGAATGCATACAGCGGATACAGAAAGAAATTCAGGATATCGATCTGAACATACTTTCCGATGACGATGATTCCACAGATGAAGAACGAAACGTGCGTTCTATTTTAAGAAGACGTCGCCTAAGATTTGGTAAGATAATAATTATGTAAAGCATTTTTCGACCTTTCATCGATCTAAGTCTAAATGTGCCTTCAAAGAAACATACATATTTTAATTATTTCAAGAAACTATGTCGCTATAAAATATGAGTCATGTTTGAAAAACTTAAAGGAATCAAACAATCTGTTGTACTTACTCTAATTTAGTTTTCTCAGGTAAAAATACTATTTCTCAAAAAGTAGTTCCAGATATTATTACAACTTACAATTGATGGTGAAAGTAACTTTGTCTATGGAAGATTAACTAATGTTTCAATATGAAAGATTAATTAATATTTGACAAAATATTAAAGAATGTGAAGGATATAGAAGTCTGTACAATATTTAAAAGACATTAAAATCACATTATGAGAATTAATATTACATTTCTTAGATGTCTGAATAATGTGTCGGTGACTAATATTTAGAGTAAAGACTGCCAAATTGCCTTGTAGGAGATGCCGACAAAGTGGCACAGTATTTTATCAATGGAGGACCAGCAGCTGGTCGCTCCCATTTTGTCAGAGCGTTCAATGAGACTCACGATAGCGTCGATTCTGCGAAAAATTCGTTTTCGGGCGCGGTTGACGAAAGTAGCCCCGAAAACGGATTTCACAGCGCACCATTAATCCATCCGATTTCTCGGAGTACATGCGACTCTCCATTGTACTTGGTACCAGGAAACGCAGACGGAAATCAAAACGACGGAGAAAACGCTTATACAAGATACGCTTCGAACGTAGAAAGGGCGAACCCAACCGTTTATCCTTCAAGTGGATTGTACGATCTAACGAATGCGTTGGTGGGTGCGATCACTCATCCACATAGGACACAGGGACACGGACTCCACCATGTTATACTGAAAACGGCTACTCTCCCGGCACATGCTTTGCACAATTTACTTGTGAATTATCATCATCGTCATCCCGTTTATCATCATGGCATCGTCAGAAGCGCTTATGTAAGTAGTACAATATAACAAAATGATATACAATTTTATAACAAAATTTCACAAAAGATTTGTGACATCAGTCCGAATAATGATTCCATGTAAACATTTGTTTTCAATTTAATACTTATGCATTTGTAATCAATATAATAATTAAAATAGAAAATGTGATAAAAATATCCAAGTAAATATTTTTTTCTATTTTAGCCACAGACTGTATCCTATGTTGGTCAATATGGTCGGTGTGGCGGTTCCGTTGATCCTACTGTCTCTTCTATCGCCATAAATAATGCGGTAAGTTTTCTAATGATGTGAAATATAACAAATATAATTGTCTAGCTTTATAACAACATATGCAATGTGTTCCAGAACTTGTAACTTTAATATTAATGACAGATTCTTAGATGATTTGATTCTTCTACAGTAAAAATGATTAAAAATCTATTATTAAAATTAATTTTAGGAAATACAGTACCATGTGTATTAATAGCAAGTTGTATTATATTAATATATCGAATTTCAACGCATTGTATTGTACATATCTGTATAATTAACAAACAATTATTTGAAATAACACAACTAAAATTTTATTTGTTTCAGAATAAACCAATTGAACGGAATTTTATTACACCTGTTCCCATGCCAGTTGATCAAGTGCAGTATTCTCCACATATACCGTATAATTACGGCATAAACATACAACCAGCACAACAATATCGATCTTTTGGTTATCCATATAGATACATGTATCAAAATCCTGTGTATAAGGTATTTTATCCTATAACTGATAATTATTATGCTCGACCTGATACCTATACTCAAGGTACACAAGGTACACAAGGTACACAAGGTACACAAGGTACACAAGGTCCGATGATTTCTGCGCCTATTCCATATCATTACTGTATAAATAAGGCAAATACTGAACAGCCAAGTACAGTTCCAGCTGTTACTAGTAACCCTTTATTTTCCAACAATCAAGCAGAGAAGTCTAATGATGCAATTAAAGATAACATTTCTAAAAAAGAAAAGAAAACTGAGAAAGATGGAAACAATAAACTATAATAAAGAAATATAAATTAAATCGATTATGCTCTATATTTAAAACACGATCCTACATATTTCCTGATATTATTCTGCCATATTTATCTAATAAGCAACTAGTAACTTAATTACTGGATTCTTTTTTTAGTGAGCATTAGATTTTAATACAAATTTAGAAGTCATAGACTCGGTAGAAACTCTTAAATTTTGATGCATAAATACAAAAAATATATTGTAGCAATTATTTTAATTCTTATACATTATATGAAACAGAATCTAAATGCAAAGACAACGTGTATATATATATATATATATACACACAAATATTTTTTATAATAATATGTATAAGTGAATATTTGTTGTGATTTATAGTTGCAGATCCTCTTCTTTACCTCCTTCCCTTGTTCTTCCCTTTCTTCGACGTCGATGTGGATGGTTGTGACATTTGTTCACTAGAACTCTGTTTGCCTTGACGAGTTTTCAACTTTGGGATTGTGGTTCCAACATATTCCAAAAGAGAATCTCTGGTGGGATACTCGGCGCGTATTGGTGTACCATCATCGTTTTTTAACTGCACACGAATACGACCACGAAATAGAGGTTCCTTGCTGCGTTCTTTGGGATGCAGTTTATTCTCGACGCCTACGACGAAACCCGCTGCTACCAACACATCCCGTATTTCCTGATGCGTCGGGTTCTCCACACATTTATCCTTGGTCAACTTTCGTCCACTAGCCAAACTCCTTTTGCTGTTCAGATATATTGGATAAATGCATATCCATCTGCAAAGTGACACATAAGGTAAAGCAAATATAATTTTGGTTCTGACACCTAAATTAAATAGTTATAAACGTCAAGAATTAAAAATTAAGTGTCTTTTTATAAATGGCTCTACATTTTTGATGAATTCGTAATAAGATCGTAACTTCAACTTGTATAAATCCAGTTCTGACACTAGATACCTGTCATTCAAATTGACATTTATAGGTTAGATAAGATGTAAATTGCAATGTACTTTATTATGAGAAACTATAAGTGTGAAAGAAATGTTACAGTACTCAATATTTAAGAGATAAATATTCATGAAAAAATATTTTTATTGTAGACATTGACTCACCTCTCACGTTCACTGTGTTTCTTCGAAGGATTCCACGCAAGCGACATGTTGTATGTTATTACTGCATGTTGGGAACTTGGGGATCGATTGTACCATATGCTTTGAAAAAAAAAAAAATTGAGGTCTCCGCTAGAGGTTTGGATTAACGTGTTCACGTCTCTGTTAAATAAGGTTTGTATTTTTTCCAATTAAACTTTTCTATACTAGTTGTAATAAACTTTATGATGCAGTATGCATAGAATTCATAAATTCTCTGCATAAAAAGAAAACTTACAAGCATGATAAAGCAAAAAATATAGAATCTTGGGCTCGTCCGGGATTTGAACCCGGGACCTCTCGCACCCGAAGCGAGAATCATACCCCTAGACCAACGAGCCATGTGATGAGTATTTTCATATACAAATCTGAAATGTATAACGCAGTTTATATAGCTCCATATATAATAATATATAATGCATTCTCAAAAAGTTTACTACACAAAAATATAAAATGTTATTCCAATTAAAAAAAATTAAATTATGATGAAAAGATATATGAATATTGATAATGATTCAATTCATTTATTAATTGTTGCCAATAAATTAAATATATAAATTACATAAGTACAATATATCTAATAAATTGCCAAGACAAATATAGAATATTATTAACAACATACACGCATACACAACAAACAATATCTTGTACATAAATTTAATATGTAACAAAATATTACAACTTTTTTACACTTTAAATAGATAGTTTGTAACTGATTAAAATAAACATAAATTATTCAAATAATATGCATTATATCTTAATATATATAAGCACATAAGGAAATATTAATGACTTGGACAAGATTATTTTTTTCATATTTCTTGCTTTATATAGCAGTTTTGTAAAGCCAAACTTAACTTTCTGATTTTTTAATTGATGATATATAGAAATTCTTGTATCGAATGTTTCAAGGTAACTACTTTTTATTTCTAATTTTTTTAAACACAATTTTGATACCTAAAATCACTTCACTAAGTCGTCAAAAAATTGGGTATGGAAATTCATTATTTCCTACACATCTTCAACTTACAGTGAATTATTGACTACTTATTGTATTTAAGCACTTTTTAGTTATAAATCTTAATCCTTTCCCTACTGTTAATAATCTAAAACAACATTTTCTTTGGCAATCTATGTTATCCTTTTTTTTTTAAATATATATTTTATATATACGTATTATTTATATTTTCTCTGTGATAATTTTAATAATCAAAATACTGATTACAAAAATTGTACCATCATGTAGAATTGGTATTTTACCCAAAATTGGAATCATGAGGCACATGGTATATTTGTCCACTTATTATCTTTAAATAATACTTGGTCAATAAAACAGCATTTTCTACAACTACAAAATAGTCATCATTAAATTAAAACGCTTTCTTGTCAGCAAAAGCATGCCAAGTTATTGCATTTGGATTTATATTTTCGAACGTTTTCTTATGATATGCAAATAACTCTACATGAGATTGAAATGATTGAGAATGGTTACATATAGTGATTATGTACAATTAACGAATAATGAAAAAAGATAAAATTGATATCTACTAATACATGAAAATGTTCAGTAAGGAGAGGATAGATTTCTAGTATAGAGTTCTAGAATCACAGTGGATGTATTGAATATCTTGAATCCTATCAATTTGTAGATGAAATGACAAGTTCAAACATTATATGCCAAAGTTACACGTTCATGAAAACTACGACAGAAATGGGAAGAACACAATATAACATGGTGATAGGCACACCAGTAATTGGCAAAATGCTTCAAAGTCTTCCATTTCTGATCTATGATAACGATTTGTTATTATCCATTGGCGACTCACGTATTCATATGAATCTTTGATCTCAGAATGTGTCTCAATAGTTAATATATTACAATACACCATATATTATTATACTAGGCTCACACTGTAATCGTGTTTAAAAACGCTAGAGCAACATTCTAGTGTAACGAGACATACGATGAAAGGACAACAATTAACATATGTAAAAACAAAGGCCAGAGCAAGTGTTACCGGTTGAGGCCAAATTTTTTTCACTTGCACATAGCACCATTTCATACTATATCAAGTTCCGATTCAAATATGAAAATTCCTTTGGTGTTAGGTTACCAGCCCATCGCGGAAGGTACACGAGAACCTACCGTGAAATCTTTGTATTGGGAAAAAACGCTTATCTAAAAAAAAAGGTAAGTTTGAAATATTATTTTATTAAATTATCAATTCAACTGATATTTATCACAGCAATAACAAACCTTATCTTTCAGTCGTTGACAAAGTTGTAGCGCAATTGTAAGTAATACAAGAGCATCGTTTAACCATGGCACACTGCACTCCGCTTGCTGGGTTTCATACTTGACACTGCCATGGGCATTTTCTAACTGATAGACAGCTAACACCAGTTTGTAGCTTTGGATATAAAAGCTAATGGCCAAATTCTCTGGAAGGTTTGGGTTGAGAGATTTCTGCAAACAAAAAATTTCACAATACACCAATAATTCAATATAAGGTATGTTTATTACAAAATGAAATAAATTTTAACCCTACCATATTGCGACTCTTGATAAGATCGTCAATTGTTTTCTTCCTAGGAACTATTAAACTACTTCTGCTCCTCTGAAGACAACCCTGAATATTACCTAACACATGCATGACTTCGTCAGATGTTTTAAAAAGATAATGTCTATCCACGTTATCTATATGGGCAATGCCTTGTTGTAAATGATTAGCAGCATCTTGAATCTGTTGTAATTTCCATGGATGTTCACTTTGAATACTGGTCCTCATATTAACATTCTGTTGTCGCTGTACTTTAAAATTCACTTCCTGCAAGCATAGAAAATATTTCAATAATGAAACAAGTGAGTATAACTTATATAATTTTATCATACTATGACCAATCATGTGATCATAATTTTAATAATGGACTAAGCCTACCGCATTTGTAATGCTATCGCCTGTCAAAACAGCAACACATTTGACTTGATCATGCGGAGCTGCAAAGACGAATCTGTCAGTTTTGTTGTGTTGGTCATTACCGAAGAGAGCCAATGGGAACCGTTGAGCGCAATCCTTAAGGTAAATACGTAGAATTAATTTGCAAGTTAACAGTCTAAATGTGGAAAATTAATGTGGGCAGACATTATGCTGTATAATTATGTAGAATAAGATAATGATTTCAATGTACATACCATCAAGATGTTTCGGAGCTGCGACAACGAGGAGTGCACTTCCTCGTGGAGCACCCATTCGAACTCCATTTGCTGTAAGCAAAGTAGTGTTGTATTATCGATTTGAACGTATACAGAGCAGTGTGAAATGTCAAATGGATATAACCTCAAACACAATTACTCATCAATTTAACGAAATGAGGGTACGATTAATTTGACGATATATAGATCCTGCTATCTCGTGGCGTGCGAGATGCAGCAAGGTCGTCTAAATGATTAGATAAATGTTAAGTAAAGGTAAATAGCGCTTACGAGATTGTGTGCCTCCTCCTTCTCGCAGTCCGCCATTTTTCAACTAGCGTCTATCGCGGTCCGGTGTCTCCACCTTCTTGCACTTGGAGCAACTTGAAATGTACAACTTCATACGACTTATGCATACGTATATACGTGTGTGAACTGTATCTCGCATATAGGATCACGAATAACTTTTTTGGTGACAGCTGTTTCCTTCGGCGAGTCGACACGATGTGAGTATTCCAAATTCTTGGTAAGCTCCTCTCACAGTGGAATAATGTTCGGAAAACATTACTCTACTCCGTCATTCCTGAAAGCTCTGAAAGTCGAAAGTCCATCTCTGCAGCACTACATATCTATAGTTATGTATCTATAGTTATGTATTAAGTGACAAGTTGATTGCAGACAATTAATGGTCCCTTGTGCGGTATCGCGTTACAAGTAGCAACGACGATAGTAGATATAGACAAGTTATATATAGAATTGTTCTTGTTCACGATTTGTTCTTGTTTGGTTGAAATGGAAACAAGTTGATGACTCGAGAAGTTGAAATTAAATTGGATAAAAGCTAATTATTCATATATGTATTTCATAATTAATTTAGACGTCTTTGACGTTTTTATCAACGAAAATATTCAAGAAAGATTAGAAATATTAACATAATTTGAAAATTTAGATTAGCCGCCATTTTTGCAGTCGATTTTACACTTGCGATTCTCGCAGCGGTACAATTCGAGGTTAATTGTTAGATCGAATCCACTGACGTAAGAACTCGAAATTCTTTAAAGGTACAAAGATTAAAGTATTTATAACATTCTATTACTTGTTATAGAATTGCTTGTCATTTGTGGAGTCATTATTTGTCGTGGACTTAACAGTTGGTCATTTTTATCGGAACCTGTTGCGTCTCCACATTGATCGTAAGTAGTTGTAAATTTGCCGCATTATTATACAAGGACAAACATTGCTTATGTACGAAGATATATTCCTTATTCTTGGCAATGATGTAATCATATACGTAGTTACCATTTCATGCAAATTTAATTTATAATAGTACGTATGCTGACCAAAATTGATATAATTATTAATTGTAATAGAATTTTATAATATTGATGCAGTATTATATATATCAGGCATATTTCAAGGCTAATTTATAATTTAATCAAGATTGCTACCGTGTTATTTGAGTGAGATAGTGAAATTATTTTGACGAAATTTTTGACAAATGTAAATGCAAAATGTGTTAAATAGTGCAAACTTGCATTAAGTTCTACGAATTTTAAAGTATTATACATTATTGTATATTAAAATTTTGAACATAATATTTATTAATAGTATTATTTTGTTTTATTTTTTTTTTTAGAATTATTTTCTCATTGTTAGTTATGGCTTTAAAATTATATTACGACTTACTCTCGCAACCATCAAGAGCACTGTACATATTCTTCAAAATATGTGACATACCATTTGAACGAAAAATTGTAAATCTGAAGAATCTTGAGCAATACACTCCAGAGTTTGAAGAGATTAATCCGTTTAAGAAAGTCCCTGTTATAGAACACAATGGTTTCAAACTTGCAGAAAGGTATATGTTTCTTTTTTTCAAGAATTATTAAATGAGATATTTTTGCTTGCATGTCTTAACTGTTTTTAACTATTTCAGTGTGGGAATTACACGATACATATGCAGAGAATTTAAGGTGGATGATCACTGGTACCCATCCGACTCGAAGCATCAGGCGAAAGTTGACGAATATCTTGAATGGCAACACCTGAACACAAGACTTCATTGCGCGACATACTTTTTAACGAAAGTAATGCTTCTTCTTTATGTATTTTATAAAACATAAGTATATTTTTGTGACCCTATTTTTTATATATTTATTAGTTTCTTAATCCATTAATGCGGGGCAAGCCGGCCAATCCGGAAAAAGTGGCTGATGCAGAAAAACACATGAATAGATGTATTGACAGTATAGAGAACGTATGGCTTAAAGATACGCTGTTTCTAGTAGGAAATACGATCAGTGTGGCTGATATATTCGGTGTTTGCGAATTGGAACAACCGCGTAAGTTATATAAATCTTTTAATTTTAAGTATTATATTATTTGTATAATTTGAATGACAAGAAACTTTTTTGTAGGTATGGCCGGTTACGAACCGAGAACGGGAAGACCACGTCTGACTGCTTGGATGGACAGAGTTGCAAAAGAAACAAGCCCTTATTATGAAGAGGCTCATAAATTCTTAAATCAAATAGCTGCAGAAAAACCTGCGCAACAGTTTAACTTTAAACTGTAGAGTCTCTCTCTACAAACAGCAACATTAATATGTTGGTTGCAATAATCAAGGGTAATTTTTATGATGTTTTTTTGATACTATTGGTACTGATTGAATAAATATCGGCATTTGCTACGCATATTAAAGAGTAAGTGATTTATACCATTTATTTTTCCATCCATATATTTACATCCATAAAAAAAAACTGCATAGTGCTGCAATTTCTTTACAGGTACAAATTGTTATAAAAGTATAAAAAGTTTGATTATGATTTTTTCATATATGTAACAATTAAAAAGCATTGGAACAGATACATATCAAGCGTTATTTTTTTAAAACACGCGACTCTTAGGTACATATATTTGAAAATAATCATGTTCTCCTAGCTCCTTTAATCACACATCCAATAAACATTTCCTTTGATTTAATTTTTTAAGTTACAGACTACACTTCTAGTTTTTCTCATAGCAGCCTAGTTCGATGGTGGCTCTAGTGAGGGACCAAAAGCCATCATAAAACGAGATTATAATTATACCTAAGCACCATGATAATGCGTAAGGTACATGAGAGGTAGCACGTTTGGAACATCCGTTACATTACGACATGTAATATACACCGATCATCTGATGCGTAAAAAATTTTCCATAATTATTGCACAATACAAACGCCATTTACTGTATAATAGTAAGATATAATTGGAGGTGCGTCGCACTCTGCATTTTTGTAGTTCGTAATTTACAATGCAGAAACATCAGATCGTGAAAACAAAGTACCATAAAAATTGCAGTAAGCGTTTCTCTTACGACGAGACGGATTTTATCACATTTGTGGTGTAAATTCGATATGACTGCGAGATAGGACTCGCACGCTTATTGCAACTTAGAATACACTGACTAGAGATATATAAGTCACCGGTGAAAAATATAAGAGTACCAAAAACGTACGTTTCTTCTATTATTCATTTTTTACTGCTGTCTCGATTGTTAAATGAATATTTATTCCGAAATGATTTCCTGGTTAATTTTCAAAGAAGTTTTTTTAACTTAGGCATCCTTTTAGGACACTTCTCTACGTGGATACTCCAATGACGCGTTTGGCACATCTCGTCGCAGTAGAAGGCCGCCTCACAGCCCAGGCACTTGAACATGGAGCCAATTAGACCGCAATTGGAGCACTCGAGATTATTCATCATCTCCAGAGTGCGATTCACCTTTCCCAGATGAGGCGTTTCACAGCTACGACTCTCCTTGCGGGCTGGTCCTTCCTTGGAGGCCAACGCGCCGCCGGACGGCCGGATCGGCGTGGGCTTGTACGTCGATGTGGACATCGAGGATGCTACCGCCGGCTCCTGCGTGCTGTCGTAAATGGCCGACGGTTGGGGATAAGCGTCGTCCGTTTTCACGTAAGGTAATCTGTCTAGAATTAAATTCTGCAGCTGACGGTAACCGCCGTTATTAAGTCGCGAGTCCACATTGATGCTTCCAACGGCGTCGACGGACTGCACCTGCTCCTGCGGCAGGCGCTCGCAGTTCGCCGCTCTGTTCGGCGCGATCATTTGCGACGATTCGTTATCTATGACACCGCCGATGCCTCTGGACACTATTTCGGTGTCGGCTCTTCTGTACGTTGGCAAAGTATCGCGTTGTCGGCCGAAGGAAGCCGCTGCGAATACCGCGGCAGCCGCCGCCGCCGCGACGACGTCCGGCATCATTCCATTTCTACCACACTGGCCGTTACTCGCGGGATACCTGGCCAGAGAAGTGCGCGCCAGAGTCTGCTGCGCGGAGGCAGCCAACGCTGGATGTGGCGGCAACAACAGGGATGGTAAACAGGCTCCTGCGGTGCCGTTCTGCGTGGTGGACGTCGCCGTCCTGAGTCGATCGTAATCCATGCCGGCGGCGGTGTGCTGATAGCTGCCTGCGGATAACGCACCGGGATACTTGAGGAGATCTGTGGCGAAGTGACGGGTCGCCGCGTTCTGTAGATGTGCGGGAAAACGCTTGTCGAGATGCTGCATCTGGCGGAGCGGTGACGCGTGTGTGTCCTGTAACGGACCCATCTGGTAGCCGCTAATCGGCGGCGCGGTGGCGTGCAGACGAGAATGATAAGGATAATTGCCGTATGGACACATTGTCGAGTGGTAGCCGAAAGCGTTGCCGTAAGGATCGATCTGCAACGGTAAGTGAATGAGAGAATGACCGAGTAATAATATATTTCTTTCTTTCAGGATAAAATTCTTGTAAATAAACGTTTGATTAATTCGGGCATATGTCTTTACTGATTAATTTGTCAGAATTGTGTTTTTTACTAGCATTGTTTCTTACAGGACAGTTTCTTACCGCATAATTAGGTGGATAAAATTGAGTAACCGAGATATTTGGACACAAGCCTGGCGGTCTCACTGGCGGCGCGGCCGATGACGCCGACGCCGCGTACAGCTGCTGTTGACGCTGCTGACGCTGCCACCTTTCCGTATTCCATTGCGGAGCTACGTTGACTATGTTATTTCGAGCGGCGTTACTCGGCGCACTCGCTCGGATCTTTTGCGCTTCCAATCCAGGAATCTGTGCACAGATAGCGATAGAATTCACCGATGGCTCATCATTATTGAAGAGAGACGATTGTAGAAAGGAAACTCACGCGAGCCACTTCCGCCGTTGACGCGGTTGGCAATGTTACACCGGATTGCAGCTTGGATTTCGATTTGGTACTCTGCTTCTTCGACACTCCACTCGCCGCCATTTGACATTCCGCCACCCAGTTACCCAGTGTGGGAAATTGCTCCGTCATAATGCGACTTCCGTCGGTGCGCTGGTTAGTATTCTCTTGAACAACTTTCTTGCTATTTGGCAGGCTGTTGCATAGAAACGCGCATTAAATATATATTTATTAAACGAAATTATGAGATACTAAAGTACTCTTACACGACACATTGTTGATTCGAACTGCTGACGGTGGATGCAGATTGAGTGAATCCCAGAGGTATTGTTGGATCCAAAGCTACAGATTGACTCATACTTGACGTCACCTAAAAATACATTTCAATATGTTTTAATTTCTTAAATCTGATTTATTAGAAAAAAATTACTTTTATTGCTATTTTAAATTATTTTTCTAAAGCCTCAGTCTTTACAATAAAAAAAACAAGATACATAATTGCTAACACAGTTAACACAGTAATAAAATCTTATTATACAATTTGCAGATTTAACAAAAGAAAATATGAAGCTTGAAAAAAGCCTCAAAAATAGTAATTTGAATTAGCAATTTTCATTAGCAATTCTATTAATTGTATTAAAAAACTTGTTATTTTCTTAGAAATTTAGATCTATGATAATTGTGTACATTTTATTATTTAATTTAAACTTATTTAACTATTTTAAATAAGAAATAACCATGAATATCTTTTGCAGATTTCTTACCTTCTGCGCGTCCCTCGAATTCTGTATGACGCTTGTGAAGACAACGTTGTCCCGCGCGACGGACGAGCCGTAATAATTCGACTGCAGCTGCAAAATGTTAGTCATATTGGCGACGGGCACTTGCGGTCGTCCGACAGTCGTCGACGCTTCCTGCGCAGCAGCGACAGAACTCCCGGCCGCTCTACCCTCGCCATTGAGCTTCTCCGTGGAATCGTAGTTTCCGTATTCCGTCACCTTCCTAGGTTCCTCAACAATCGACGAACCAGAAGGTAAGGCCTCATTCGATTCTTGTTCCAATTCCTGCTTCTCGCAGGCGACCGCCTTGCTCGCGGCGATTTCCGAAGTCTGTGTCACGTCGTCGAGACACGCTTGAGCGACAGATCTTTCCTTCGTGTCGCGAACGTCGCTCTCGTCCAGCTCGATATTCATCGACGAATCTAGAAAACTGTTTGAAGAGATCGGCGGTGTGACTCGTCGGTGCTTCTGCGCGTCGTCAAACGCTTTGGTGTCTTCTGTAATCTTCTGCGCAATTTCCAGATTCCTCAGTTTCGACGAGGACTCCTCCCCGCCGTTCCACTTCGTCGTGCTGTTGCTCGGACCGTCAAAGTCCGGCGACGAAATCGGAGATAGAACCGGCGCCGTTGTTACATCGCCGCGAATCAACGTTCGATCCACTTCGTCGACTTTGACTTCCTTCTCGATCGGCGAATCCAACGAACTGTCGTTTGCATGCCAGCTCTTGGTGGCGCTCAGATTCTGCTTCAGGCACTCCAGAGTGGTCGGTTGGATCGCGATGTAAACTCTGGGCAGCACTGGTGGACTGTTCCTCATAGCGTCAGGTGATTTACCCTTCTCGTAGTCGATGGGCGAGCGAGGCGACAGTTTGGGCGGTCCCGGCGAAGACGACGGAGAAATGCTGCTTCTGGATATCCCGTTCACCTTTTCGACGTAAGAATATTAATCGTTAGAAAAACATGTTAGATGAAGTGATCGGCGAATATTCAATTAAATTTTCATCTACTAAATTATTCAAATAACATTTTATTTATATAATTTTTATATAAATAAAAGAATAATAATTATCTTGCCAGAAAAAATGAATTTTGCTGATTATCTCATCCGATATCCATTCCGTTTACCTGCGCGTCGTCGCTCTCGGCAGTTTTCTCGGCTGACGTACGCTCGTCCAGCTCGTTCTCGTAATCGAGATCGACGACGGCGTTGTCAGTCGTCGGCGGTATGGAAGCCGACAGCTTACACAGCAGCTTCGAGACGTTCTCGATTTGTTTCTCGTAGCAATTCATCATCTGCCGCAGTCGCGTGCTGCGCTGCGGGCTCGTGTCGGTGTTATTGCACGCAGTCATCTCTCTTGAGAGCTCGAGCGCCTTGCCGCGCAGCTCCCGCAGCTTTTGACGCAACCGGTTGCGGCGGTACTTGATTTTATAGCCGTCGCTCTTCGGCGAGGACCGCCGGCTTTTGTCGTGCGCGTTATTCGCCGGCGACTCCAGCTCCTTCTCCGACGTCACGCTGCTCCAAAAGGAGGTGGTGGAGTAGCCGGATAGTTCCGGACGCGGCGTGGCGCCGGTGACGATGCGGTAGTTGGACTCGCTTCCCGAATCGGCATTCACTTCGACGTTACGGTATTCGCTGATACTCGCTGAGAAAGAAATCGTGCGAATAACAATTAATGTATGAAGAAAACCGCTATTCTATGCGCAGATATATATTTGAATTAAATTCTGTTTATTTAATTGAGACGAAAAAATTATCAATTATTTTTTAGAGAAATTTATTGATTTCAGGACGAATAACTCGGAATTTTTAATTGAATATTGAATGTAAAAGAATGTCATACCTTCGCGTACAATTTTCTTCAGTCTTAAAGGCGGGACAACTTTGTTGCAGATCTCTTTCGACTTTTCTGCCTCTGGCTGCGTAGTGGACACCACGATCGATGACGAGCACCTCTTGTCATCCCACAATCTTACCAACAAGTGCTGTGATTTTTTTCCTCTCTTATCGACCAAAGCACCGGAGCAGGTTTTCGAGTACTCCTTCAAAATATTTTTGATGCGCTCGTCGCGTATGTGACTGGCGTCCGCTTCGTGGGATTTCTTCTGCTTTTTCATGTCCTTGGTAATTTCCTTCTCATATTCTTTATCTCGATTTTCGTCGTTTTTTCTTTTCGCACTATTGACCTCTTTTGCAATCTGTAAATCGCGAGATCACGTCGGTAAATCTGCCAAACTTTTAATTCACAAGTTATACGCGATTCGCGTTGCTATTTAAAATTATTCTTATCTAATGTTAGGAAAGAAATAAATATTGCTCGATCTGTAAATATAATACCTGCACGACATTGGTCATATCTGGAAGAACGTAGTCCGAGTGATCGATGAGTTCTCGCGAGAGCATCATTTCGTCGTCCTTGTCGTCCTGCTGCCCGAAAGGGAACTCGTTCAGCTCATTTGTCAACGAGCCCCTCGGAGACATATCCGATTGCACCTCGACCACGTCCGCACCCATCGATTTCGACAGCTTAAGAATCGAGCGCGCTTTTCGCGACATCACAACCGACGCCGCCGAGCGCGTCGGTATCGGCGGCGCCGGTCGGATCGGCAGCGAGCGATTAGGCTGCACGGGAATCACGCAAGGACCGCGATCCCTCAAGGCGGTCGCCAGGGTGCCACCCGTGCCGGTCCGCTGCAATCTGCTAGAGCTGTCGGCTATCATAATACGAGGTTCTGGAAAAAAAAAATAAAACTTATAGTTTAGTTTTGTAGCCTAATAGAAAAAATAATATACTTCCTATGTTAATTTTATTAAGTATATTAGTTTTATATGAACTCAAAAGTACATCAACTCACATAGTCAAGTAGAGTGATACGTAAAATGTTTGCTTAATACTAAATGAAACAGCTATCTACATATTTGAGAATTGATAAATTTGGTGATTATACGCCCTTTAAGATTAAGTAATTCATATATTCTATTCACAATAATTTTTGACCTAATTAGGAAAGCGTTTAAAACACATTCCATTTGTTACGATTTTTCCAGTTATTTCGTAAAATTTTTTATGAAAGTAGCCTTTTGTTTTTATCTTTAAGAATATAAAATGCTAAATTTTTGATGAATAAAACAATTTATTTAAGACTAAAATAGAAACTAAAATCAAGACTAACAATGAAAGCCAGTTTTAAATTCTAAATATTTAATGGGTTGTTTTTTTGCAAATCATTAAAATATTTTATTGTTTCGAAGAATTCTATATAGTTGATATGATAAACACATGGATGGTACATTAAATAAAATGTAAATTTTGAAGAAAATTGTTTATTCCTAAAAAATGAAATAATTCTGTATTTAAAAAATTTTAGAATTTATTATGTGTTTTATTTACGTGACTGGGATATTTTTTCAGGTCCTACATTCTTGAACGTGATCGTGAATGAGGAAGACAGCGCAAATATTTTGCTGCCCCTCGCACGTAACCAAGCTTTGAAAAGCGACATTAAAAGAGCCGAAGAGTTATGTAAATTCCAAGACTGGTTTTTGTACGACTGATTGATTTTCGTAAAGGTATGGTACGTTTTATATATTGTTTGTACACACAGAATCACACGTGATCGGCGATGCGTCATGCGTTTACTTTCAGGCACGTTCGGTATGAAGGCTAATAAAAATTGACAACGTTAATCATGCGAAACGATAGACCGCTTTTGCTCTCGCTATCACGTTCTCACCCGACAGTTCCGAGCTCTCTTCGGTGTCGTCGAATTGCTTCAGGATCGTCTGCTTCCAGGTGATTTGTTTCGACTCCTCGCTGGTCAGATCTACGAGAATGGGTGCTTCCTCGTGTTCCATTGAGGCGACTGTGCTCGGCGTGGAAGCCGCCTCATCGCTGATGTCGCCCTCGTAATAATCCAAGTGTTCCGCCAGTTCTTCATCACGGCTGTTCATCAGGCTCTCCTCAGTCTTCGCAGTCTTCTGCTGCTGCTGCTGCTGCTGCAACTGACACTCCGCGCAATCCTTGCACGTGGAACACACGTCGACGCTGTCTTCATCGAGCTCGGTCGAGCTGGAGATCTGAGGGCAAGTTGTTCTTCCTTCGTTGCTCGCGTCGCTACTCTCGCAAAAGAGGTCGACGATATCGCGATAGGCGATGACGTCAGAGTGTTTTGTATCGATGACGGTGGAGCATCCGCCGAAGCGGGGCAACTTCCTCTTGGCATCATCAGATTTTTCGCGCGGATCCGCGCTACGTGATATCGCGACTCTAGGCCAGCGGGATTGCGCGAGCGCATGATTCGATCTTTTCTTCGACGATGATTTCCTCTTCTGTGGCTTCAGCGCGACGTCCGCATGCTGGTCGCGCGAGCGCATTTTTCTTACGCGTTACAATTGGTCGGCGCGAGACACGGGGAGCCTTCGGTAAGGTCAGTACGCGGCACACTGAAACATTTCGCGTTCCAGTTGCGTTTGAAAATATTCAAAGTGGTGTTCTTCTTTTCGCCCTTTCATTCGCAGGACATGCTTTATGACAATCGCGGTGCGGGAAAAAGAATAATTAAGTATTAAAGAACCAACGGTATACTTTAGTAGTTTTGGTCGATGAAGTTGAACAGTCTCGCGATGCAAATAATATATATGTAGGGGAGAATAAAGAGAGAACGCCCGCGCCTGCGAAAGGGAAGGCAATAATTGCGAAGCTTCGTGCGCTACATATCAACCGTTCTGTGTGCGTTTTTTTTTCCTTCTTTTTTGTTAGAAAACCTGCTGCTATCGATTCTTATCGATCACTCTTCGTACACATTACGTATCTAGAATGTGTATGGTGGTAGAATACACGAAAAAGGGAGAAATTACGTTTCGCACGCGATGCTCGCCCCCCTCGTGTCACCTTTTTTCTCTCACCTTCTCTCTCTCTTTTCTCTGACGCACACACGCACTTTTTCTTTTTTTTTTTTCCTAGACGGAAATTCACGGTCGCGCCGAAGAAATTGAAAGCAAACCCCTCGAAGCAATCGAAAAAAAAGTTTATGCTGAAAACTTTTGTCTTCGCACATTCACACGCATGCGCGTATGTGTGCACATGTGGAATATATAGTTACTCTACATTCAATTTAACGTTGCGCAATCAAACCACGAATATAATTGCCGAATGATACAATAATTAACGCTTGAGCGAAATTATCGGCAACAAGTGGAAATGAGCTCACAGTTTAGAATAATGAAGTTGATAATATTTCATTGGTCTATATATATATATAGTAGTTATATATACATATATATATAGTAGTTTATCATTATTTACTCAGAAAAAAAGTTGACGAAGTATAAATAATGCTAATAAATTTTTCGTAATTGTCAGCATTTACTTAAATTGCATTTTTGTTATTATAATTAACAATTATATAACAGTTATAAATATATAAATTTTTAAAAATATTTTCATAATAATTAGATAAATACACATTTGTATTATATACATTGATGATTTTTACGTCCGCGCGTCTGTTTTTCTAAGTAAAAAATATCGTTAAATTCGAGGAAGTAATTAAATAAGGAAATAAATTTAATTTTACTGAATGCTTGGTTTACATTTCATCAACGTCATTCTGTTTATATAAATTTTAATGACGAGAGAAACGCAAATGAAAATTACCTTTGCTTCGACATATCCAGTCGCGAGAGGTAAATCGTTGATCAAAATTGTGCACACCAATGCCTACTAATCCCCAATTTTTAGACATTATATACTGTCGAATTTTTATACAATGCTCACTATTGTTTTAGTAATGTGAAAGCAATGCTTGTGCGATGCTTTCCTTTATTTCAGCCCTTTTCGTCTAATTTTTTATTAATTTTGCACTTATTATCGATTGTATAGCCTTAAGCATGCAGCGACTAAAAAGTTTTACAGAGTGTTAAAAGCTTTTCGAACTCCACCGGAAATCAAACTTGAATCTTTGAATTACTAATTACGTTTAATTAACCCTGACTTTTTATATTAATTCGGCGATCGTGATGGTAAAGCGATTTCAACTTGAATATACAAAGTATAAAATTGCAATATCTAAGTGTTATAAATTCAATATTTGAAATTTAATTTACATTACTAAGAATATATGTATATTATTTGAATACGATTTTCATATGCATTAAACCGCACCGCAAGAAAACCGACCACACTTTTCCGCTTGACGTACAGCGGTGAAACTCGCAGGCGAAGATCACAGCTTACTTTTCGCTTATCACTTTCTATCGTTGCTTTCGATCGTTAGCGCTAACCAGCTAATGTATACCCCACACCGAATCTTACGTCACCGCATTATTGCAGCGGGAATCACGTGTCACCAGCCGAGACCACCAACCCCGCGATAAGACGACGTGCTTAACACACTTTCTTCTTGTTCTTTTATGAATACTTGTTCCCTTTCTCTTCTTATCTTCTTTCTTATCACAATTTTTATGGATGAATTTTTTTTTAAATCTTTGCAATTGATGATATTTCACACTATCTTCTATCTTTTGCAGATATTGCTACGGGAAACGGAGCTCGTTTCTTCACTGTCTGACGTCCCGACGTTAAACATTTTTTTTTTCGCGCCGGGCAACACCTGGAGACAAGATCCGCGACACCTCCGATGAGTTACAGAACTTTGATGCAGACCGCGGCAGACTGTCATGCGAAGGAGCGAAGCCGGCCGGCGCGGCGATAGAGCGAGCCGCGTGCGTGCTCCCTCTCCCCCCCCCCCTTACTTAACACCACACGCGTGACGGCTGTCTCCCTTCGCCCTTCAACGAGTATTTCAATTGGCCGTTCAGGACGCGCATCCTCCGGCGCAGACGGAAGGATGATCGGAGAAGGGACACGCAAGTCGATCACGTTGATGTCTCTATGCAATTTCTCTTCCCTTGGTTTCGACCACGGACAATGTTGTCCCAAGGAACTTGTTCCCACATCGATCGATCGGACCGGAAGTTTCGGAGCTTTGAAGTTTGAAGAGTCCTATTTCGAGCTATAGTTATTTTTTCTTTCCTTTTTTTTCACGCCTCTGCAAAGACGTGCGCGATGCTCGATATCTAAATGCCACGATCGTAAAATATGTTAAGCAACAATGTGTGTATTAGAGAGCTGCTTATACCGCACTTATCTGCAGTTGTATACGGTTGTATGGCCGCTCAAGGATTAATGATAAGTCCGTGATGATAAAGCAGTCGCGGCCGGCACCGTTGCAAAACTTTGCGCGCGTAAAACCGTAATAACCAGTTTCTCTGTTTTGATTCACAGTTTTTATCACCGTCGTCATAAGCATCGATTGCAATGCGATAATATCGAATCATAAACTAGACATTAATCCGTTGAGAAAAAAATAAATGCTATCGATGTTGAAAGAGAGCTATTTTTCAAAGAAATCTTTTTTACAAGTCTCTCGGATTGGTCGACGAGCTCGCGTGGAACGGAGTTTACGAACTCTGCTAGTAACAGCGGCATTTCATTGGGAAAACTTGTTTTATCATTGCGAAAAATGAAATTTCTCGTCGCGTTTTCCAAGTTGCGGCCGGCTTTTGAACGCCTTGTCAATACGAGGGGATGAATGCTTCATGCACCCTTTACAGCGGGCAACGTTAGCGCGACGCGTACAGCCGAACGGAAAGAGAAGGAAGAAGGTTCTTCCATAATTTACCGGTCTACTTACAAGTATCCTCTTTGTAGTTCTGCCGTTATATAAGTCTGCTTAGTTAGTGTATGTACTACAACCTTGCACTACCACCTGGCATCCAAGAAAGAGAGAGAGAGCGCCTGGCGTTGTTTCTCTAAGCGGCGCTTTTTATTGAACATAATATCGTTTTTGTAGAAGGATCTCGTGTTTTGCTCGCGCGCTCTCGTCTCCGAGGGATTACATTATTTATCTAAAATATCCGCGGCGTGTTATATCATAGTGGAATAGAAAAATACATTAATGTAATAGTTAATCGAATTCGCAATGTCTGTATCTTTATTATATTTCGCCTTAATTAACTGATAACGTTAATAATGAACACGGTAGCACGAAAAACATTAGCTGTTTCTCGGGGTATGCTTTGTTATGACAACGCCGGTAACAATGTGTGTGTGCGGCGATGTGACCGATGAATGCTATATGTCTATATATAGGCATCTTTACAATGGACGTGTGCTATCGTTTGGTTGCGATATCTATGTCCGTTGTATAAGGGTCATCGACATCCTCTTTCGCGAATATATCGATGAAATCCGGATGAGATTGGCGGGCGTGAAAAAATCGTCGCTTCGCGGTAGCTCTCTTCCCGGAAACTTTCTGCCGATCTAGCCGCGCTTGCGATGTGTATACCCTCGTAGTAGCGAGTTATCGATTGAACGAAAAAAAGTTTCACGGGCCCGATAAACTCTGCGATTTTGCATTTCATATTCTTTGAATTTTTCTAGCTTCTAGCGAACCACAAGCGGTAAAGACGAATAATATCGATCTGTTTAAATATAATTACGCTCTAACTCTAGCAATTTTGCTGTTAAACGAGCTGTAGAGCAAAGCGCACGTAAATGATTGTTTAATGTAATAGATGTGTAAATTAATTCGCGGTCTTAAGTTATAATTATTCCAAAATACCGCTCCTAGTTTTTTTCTTTTCGGGATTAAACAGTTAATCGAAAGATGGTTAAAAATTACAGAAAGATAGTGATTATTTTTCAAATAAAAGTACATATAATTATAATATTTCCTGTGATAATTAAAACCTTTTTTTTTTAAATTAATTTACACATTCAATTATCATTGAATTAATCGAGAGTTAAATGATTCAACGAGAGAACACGAAGGACATTTATCTCGACATTTATCTTGCTGCGGCCGTTTGGATTACATAAAAGTGTGTAGAAATAATTATTAGATACACTCTAAGTGAAAGAGAGTACTTACTCGATAGTTAGAGCGACAGAATAGTCCGCGACCTTGCTTGTCATTCCCCGATGACGACGACAGTCAGGCCATCATCCCCCGCACGCACAATCTCCCGCGAGGAACGATTTACGTCTATGCACACGGGTGCATGCGGCCGAACGCACGCACCGTCGCGACGTCGCCGTGGGGTGGCGAGCCCGCGTTCCCATCCAGACGTATTGGCTCCTTTAACGCCCACTTTCGTGTGTTTATTCGTACCACATATCGGAAAATTCACCTCCGATTGAAACACATCAGCTCAATATCTCATTGCCTCTCCCCGCCGTTTTATTTCAACATTTACGAATTGAAGGCGAGATCTGATATTTGATTTCTTGTGCTTTCAGCGATTCATCGTGATTATTCATTTTTCGGCGCTTCTTATCATAATACACGAGACGAAACGCCTGTCATCGATAATTCATCGTCACTCGGCACTTCAAAGCCGTCTCGCGGTCCGTTTTGTCGTGCGAAGTCTGGGGACGCGCGACGCGCCGGACAGACCGCGATGCGCCGGAGCCGGTGTGCAACACGCGAATGTGATCGCGCCGAGGTACATAGCAGCGCCACGTGGTATTACCGAGGTCGTTACCGTGGGGGACTGCCGTCGTCGTTAGAGCCTCCACGGATCAACGATGACGACGACGACAACGACGACAATCCACGTCCGACGATAGATTTGTCACTCCGCTACTATGCTGCGAGCTAAGCGGTCGGCCGCGCTGCAATTTACAAAATGGATGAAAAATTATTTAATAGGTAATATATTTATAATATAAATGAAAGAGAGAGAGAGTTATAAAAATACTGCACATTTACAATCGGAATACTCACAATGAGCGTTTTCGATCCTTGGACTCGTCGTGAATATCATCGATAGATTGCTGACGGTAGCTTGAAGAAATATTAAGTATTCAGATTTTGTATTTTATGTTTTTTATGAGAAAAGCACTTGTCCATTCTATCATATAGACGTCACTTGGTCTGTTCTTTTTTCAAGCTAGGGATCAACCGCCTTTCCTTTCTTCTTACGCTGAAGACTCAAACTTTGAACTAAATTTAACTCACATGTAGCGCTAACTACGACCCTACTATTACGACGATCGATTGCCTTCTTGAATCGTCGTTTAAAGACGCTTAACCATTTGTGTGAAACTTTTATCTGCGTTATTGATCGGATAATTATTGCTCGCCACGCTGGTGTGCCACATTTCCTAGTTATTAAAACTATTTTATAATATATACTTGCGATTTTTACTCACGCAATATGCGCAGAACTGGAAGATCAAGATCTTTAAGAACAAAAAACGATAGCTCACGTTGATGAGAAGTAATAAATTGTACGTGAAAGGAGGAGAACAGAGCTTGAGTATGAATTATACAATTGATGGCAGTATTAGATACAAAGCTAAAATTATATTGAAAATTTGAATATTTTATTGTCAGAAATGTTGATTGCTCTAAAACAATGCGTCGCTTTGGATGCGTTAAAATTAATGCGACCGAAAATTCATTCAGCGACATTAAATGCGTGCTAAAGGCAGCATCACAATAGTGGTGAATAGTGTTTGGAATTTGAATGTTTAAACGGATTATTAATGAAGACGCGGATATCAAAAATATCGATTGTTCCGAAGCGATGCATTGCTTTAGATGCGTTAAAATTAACGTGGCCGAAAATTCACTCAGCGACATTAAATACACGTTGCAGGCAGCGTTACAATAGCCGTATATAGTGTTTGCAATTTGAAGGGATTAGAATCCGTCCAAACATTCAAACTCCAAACGCCGCTATTGTGATGTTGCTTTCAATACCGAGCGAATTTTCGCCCACCTATTAATTTTAACGCACCTCTGCTGTATTCTTTCGCTCAATGGCAGCGCCAAATTGTTCTTATTAACTTAAACTAATTAATTAAGACGCTCCGTGACGCGTAAAATAGCTCAATTGTTAAATCTGCGGCCGGTGAATGCTATTGTCTGCCGGATAAACATGAAATTTCCTCTTTAGTGCTTCTCAACTGTTCAAATATGACAACGTCATTCCACGAGCCTATCTTATTTGCAAATTAAATGCTGTAATCCAGTTTCTTAGTGTTTTTAAACGATTGAGCAAGAGATAATATTTTTCCAAACTTCTGTTTAAGTCTCTTTTGTTCAGAAATGGAGATATTTCCAAGTGCATTTGACATAAGAATCTCGAGCTCGACATCTTTGTCGCGAATATAATCGCGAAAAGCGATTCGTGTTTTATGTATGCATTTGGCATCACGCGTGATATTAAAATGCAGAGGGAGGACACGTCGTTGTTTCTATCTTCCGATAACAATCATTGATCGATCGCTTGCATTTCCCTCGAAAAACAGACGCGTTTCAAATAGCATGAGTTATGTCTTTCTTTATCTGGCTTATCTGCCGCTGTGTATATCGTTGCGGTCTCCGCTTAATTTCGCTCACGCGATAGACGTACGTACGCATATGCATACATATCGATAAGTGTAATTCCACGTTGCCAACCAAGTTTTCTTTTTCTCTCCTCCTTGTCTCTCGTATGCGTCACGCAAATCATTTTTATTTTATAAGCTAAAATGATACGTTATGCGTGTGTACATATGTGTTTGTACGTGCGGTTTTTTTATTATGTATTATTGTATATTTTTGCAATTGTAATAGAGTTTCGCATTTTTTTTTTTTTTATTTCGAGCGAACGACAAATTCTGCTTATTCTCGCTATTAACAAATATATGTTTATATTTTTTTCAGCCGGTACGCTCATTTGCGAGACATTTGCTCGCTATCGCAGTCCGTTCGTGGTAGCCCGAAACACGATATCCTCGCAACGCGATCGGCCACCTGTATCTCCGGCATAATTCCTTCTATCGAACAAACAAAGGAACGGTTACTCATCGGCAAACAGTTAACGACAGTATCTCGCCGCGGTCGCTCCTATCAGGTTACCTTGGCTTTTCTCGCCTCGCTGCTGATATCAAGGATCATCGCCTACGCGCCGTGCGAACGCAGCTATTTCTGCGGCTCGTAAAGCATCGCGCGACAGAAACGATATCTCGATGAAGGACCGTTTACCGAAGGACATTTTCTTCGGATGACATTTTTTCTGAGAAGATTGCGGTCATCGACGCGTGATCATGTCGACCAAGACTATGGTGCGAAAAACGAGATCCGGCAACTTCGAGTGCCGCGGCGACTCGAAATTTCCGCCGGGCGTGTACACGATTCGTTCGCCGTCGGTTTGCGATCGCGCACACGGCGACAAACCGATCCATTTGAGGAGGAGTAGCGCGTGCGAGGGGAAAGAGGTAATACAGTTTACGCAAAGGTAATCGATCATAAAGCGGGACGCGCAGCTTACCTGCTCGCTTGCTAATCTCGCTGTATTAAAAGCATCAGACAGAAAAATGATATGTAATATCTCTGTCGAACTGTAAATTAAATTAATGATCGCAAATCTGACAGGCTGGAAAGATGAGGGATAAAAACGGCGCGAGGAGGCGCCTGATCCCTGCAAAGGATCCTGCGATCAATTCGAAGATCATAACGAGACAGGAGTACGAGTATATGAAGGAGCGCAGTCGTGTGTGCACGACGGAGGAGAGACAGGCGGCCGCGGAAGCCGCGGAGATGGAGAAGGAGCGGCTGATGAGGGAGAGCATGGAGCGCAAGGAGGCGATTCGCCGGATGGACATGAAGAAGAGTCGCGAGAAGGATCCGCGGACGAGGGAGATCGAGGAGGAGGCGAGGAAAAGGACGATGCACATCCTCGAGCGAGCGTACAACATGCGTCTGGATCAGGAGGAGGAGATACAGAAGTGCAATCGGCTTATCCTGGAGGCTAAGTGCCGCGCTATTCGCGACGCCCAAGTAAACGGCGAATCTACGATCAATTTCCGATTTAATGTAGCGCCCTTGTAATACCTAATTTTCGTACATTTAGCTGTCCGTTTGTAGATCGTGGAGAAGAAGCTGATAGAACGGGAGATTCTCGAGGAGGAGAAACGGCTGAACGACGTGATGGAGAACGAGAGAAGATGGGCGATCAAGGAGGAATTGCGCAAGGAACAGGAGGAGGCGGCTAAGAGGACGCAATTCGCGAAGACCTTAAAGGAGCAGATTGTGGAGAACGAGGAACAGCGGATCCTCGAGTTCGAGAGAAAGCAGGAGGAGAGCCGGCTAATCAATTTGAAGAACATCGCCTGGCAGCAGGACGAGATCGAGAAGCTGCGCAACAAGGAGGCGGAGAACGCTAAAGTGCGGCAGGAGCTCGCGGAAGGGAACGAACAATTGAAGCACTTCAAGGCTATGGAACAGGAGGAAAACAGAATTATAGATCTACGGTTGGGAACTTTTGTTTTCGGTACTTCGAAACTGTCTTCAATCCTTTACTTTTGTTGTTTCTTTCAGAATACAAGACTACCATCGATTGAAGGAGGAACGCGAGGCTAAGAAAACGGAGGAGCAAACATTAGAAAAATTAAGAAAGGAACGAGAGAAGAGCAGAGTAGCGACGCGAACGATGCAGGCGCATGAGCTTCAGGTATGGAATAACGAATCTTGAAACACACACTCGCGATAGCCTTGAAGTAAATGTGTCGAGTAGTTATATCGAACAACAGTGTAAAATGTTGTGTAATGTGTAAAGAATTGCATAAAGTGTGTTGCTAGATCTCTGAATTTTCTCTAATATAATAATTTGATGATATATTATCACATCGCATTGCGCATTGTCCTATACGCTTCTATAATTACCTACTTCCATTCTCTTGCGTGTTTCAACCACCTGCCTATTGTCAAAGGTCAATAATCCACGAGCGGCCACGTCAGACCTCGCTATCTACGATAGCTGCTCTCCTTTCGAAATTGCACTCCGCATTTTTTATCATGATTACTCACACTTAACAGGAAACTAACTGTTATACGTTATCGCGTCGTAAAATTAATCTATATGGCATGTTATGAACTATCTTTCTGCTATTCTGATAATGTTTATTTTAATACGTGTTGTCAATGTATTTTGTTGGTGTATGCATATTTGAAGTTGACATTTAATAAGAATATTGAAAGTTTTAATTGGCTGAACGAATCGAGCTGACAAATTTGTAGGCGCAAATTGACGAAATCAACGCGGCTCGAGTTCAGGAAGAAGTAGAGCGGGAATGGAGACAAAAGGAGAAGGAAGAAGCGCTGAAGAGATTGGAGGCACAAAAGATTCTTCAGCGAGAAAGGGAAGAGCAGATAAACAATAAGCGAATAATGCAAGCTATCGAGATCGAGCGAAATAGGCGTGAATTCGAGAAGATCGTGCGCGTACAACAAACAGCTTTCTGCAGAGAAAAGAAGGAGCTCGAGCAAAAGCAACAGCAGGCTTTAATTCACCGTAGTGAAATATTAAAGCAGGTTCGTATCACTTTTGCGCAAAAAAAATTTTTAACAAGTTGCCATATGCAACAAGATGTGTATGTCAATTGCGTGTATTATTTCCCTCCCGGCAGGTAAATGAAAAGGAACGGGAGCGCATCACTGAGCGGCAAAAGATGTTCCAGGACGGCCTGGCAATCCGCGCGGAGACTGCGATGCGCAAAAAGAAATTGCAAGATGCGATAGAGCGAAAGTGCCAAGAGATGAGAGAGAGCAAAGTACCAGACATCTACATCAACGAAGTGAAACGAATGATCGAGAATGTTCAATAAATCATTTGATCAGGTGTGAAAAAAAAGCGGAGATTTAAATTTAGTCTTAAAAACGGTATAAATCACGCATCTCTTATTTTATTGCATATACAATAGTTACATACAAACAAGATTTTTTTATGGAATTAAAATTAAAAAATTCTTCGTCGACTGTCAGATATTTACTGATGTAAATATT